GGTTAGTAATAAAAGCACATTAAAATAATTGAAGATTCTGGTTTGCGTAGATCCTGACACACAGTTGAAAAGGGGAAGAAGAAGAAAAAAGACTAAAGTTGTTCTTTTCTTCCTAGTAAGGAAAGGGAAGGGAAGTTTCCTGCAGCTGCTACTTTTCTGGCCATTGGAGGGGCCAGGCCAAGCCTGCTCCTCGGTTGCTCCTCTGGCACTCCTGGGACTGTATCTATCCGTGGAAGGGGATTCTGGGTTTTTGACTTCTAGACCTGCATTGCTTCCCTGCTTCCTGAGAGTTGCGAGAAAGGGGAAGAGTGTCTTGTTCTCAGACAAGCATCTGATGTTGCCCTGGGAGTGGGTGTTACTAGGTGCACAGTTTTCCATGAAAAATACTTTGGTGGCTTTTAGCAGTGAATTAAACTCTCCAGGATGATGAAGGGAGTATCTTACAATGTTTAAAGATTTTAAAAAGCCCAGTGAGTGCAGATTTGACCCAGTGTATTTTTGTCCCTCTTGTCTTTTAATCCTTAGACCTTTGAGAGATCCGTTCCGCTTCTAGATCAGATCCCCCCATATGACACTCACAAGATTGCGGTGTTGTATGTTGGCGAAGGACAGGTATGTGCCATGTCTGGTAAAAGCATGTTCCTGAAGTCACACTTCTGTGAGCAGAATCTGTTTGGGCAAGGTGGTCCCTTTTAGGAGGAATCTTTTCTCAGAAGTGCTGTTTGCACAACTGGATTAAAGTAGGACTTTCATTCCACCAGAGTCTGAAAACTCTGGGCAGCTCCCCGCTTGGCAGTCATGTGACAGGTCTGGGTTGTGCATAAGTACACAGTTAATCACGAAGTCCTTGAGGTTTTCAGATGTAAATACTAAGCGACGGAGCTCTTGCAGTGGCATGGCCTCAGGTTCCCCTCGCACTGGTCTGCTCTCTTCCTTGTCCACAGAGCAACAACGAGCTTGCCATTCTGTCCAACGAGCACGGTTCCTACAGGTACACGGAATTCCTGACTGGCCTGGGCAAGCTCATTGAGCTCAAGGACTGCCAGCCAGACAAGGTTTATCTTGGTGGCCTGGACGTGTGTGGAGAGGATGGGCAGTTCACCTACTGCTGGCACGACGACATCATGCAAGGTATGGGGGGCAGCAGAGGCAGCCTTTTCACATGCATTTATTCCACCGCCTTCTTCCTCCACGTTGGAGCTGTGTCTAGGTATACCCTGGCCCCCCGCCATTATTATTTGGAAGCAAGAAAGGCATGAACCCAAGGGCAGTTTTATTCTTCAAATTCTGGGATTCAAACCTTGCTGGGTGCACCTGCATTGATGTGGGAGTCAAGGCAGTGAAGAAGCATGCTAACTCACTCTGGGAGGGGACCAGCCACAGCGATGCCACTTGACATCCATGCTCCATGCTGTGAGCTACCTTCAGCTGGCGTGAACAAACAGAAGTCCCAGCTGAGGAACCCTTCAGGGGATGGGGCTTGTTGGCTTCCTGGAACTCGAGATGGAGGCTCCTGTGGCACTGAGTTTTTCTTTCCAATCAACCCAATGAGAAAGATCTTTGGCCAGCACCGTCCCCCCATTTGCCAGTTCTTGGCCTTTGTAGCACCATCCTGTCCTTTTCTCCAAGCATGGGGCTTGGGTTCCTGGTAGCACCTTGCAGGGTGAGATGGCTGCTCTCCGTCCAGAGCGACCTAGCAAGCCCTTTCTTTGAGTTGGGCCGTCCAAGTATTTGCCTCCAGACATCCTGCATTCGCTACGTCCCTTTTCTGATGCTTGATGTCTGAACTGTCTGCAGCTGCTTTCCTCACTCCTTGGTTTTACAGCTATTTTCCATATTGCCACCTTGATGCCCACCAAAGATTTGGATAAATATTGCTGTGACAAGAAACGACATTTGGGGAATGATTTTGTTTCCATAATTTACAATGATTCAGGGGAAGACTTCAAACTGGGGACCATAAAGGTAAGGCGAAGAGCACTGAT